CATTGCACTAGGTTTCTATCTTGCCCCCGAAATGCCCCCCAATTCCAGCTGTCTCTCCCAGTATTGTCTCCCTCCATCCTCCCCAGACCTGATCCCTCCTGGTCTCGTCCCCAGCCACCCCGACCTTTGCAGCACCCCCAGCATCCACAACGGGGGGCTAGAGATGGTGACGGGATCATGGCAGTGTGCCAGACATCTCTTTAGGCAGGAGTTCCTAAAACAAACACATCATGGCTCGTGGATCTTGACTGAATGTGAAGAATACAGAAAATAATTTCTGATGAATTTTTAAACTCTTTTTTAATTAACCCAGAGTTACCTTAATGTTCTCGAGAAACTCAGACTGAAGAAAGCTCAAGATAATGAAGACAAGAAAACGTAAGACGTTAAGATTTTATCACTTTCAAGTTTCATACAAAATGTCGTGGTCGCTTTTCTACTGCTGTGAAGGGACACAACTAAGACAACTTTCGGAGGAAAAGTTCTGAGGGTCTCTGTCCCAGAGGTGAAGCCATGACCATCACAGCAGGGAGCTTGGCGGCAGGCAGGTGCAGCACTGGCACAGTAGCTGAGAGCTGACATCTGAACCATAAGCACTAGGCCACACCTCCTAATCCTTCCCAAACGTTCACATATGTGAGCCTATGGGGACATTCCCATTCAAGCCTCCACATAGATGTCCAACATGGGATGGGGTTACATACCTGGAAAACTACTATATTAACTTGAAAGTGCATTTAGCACCTTTAGCCTACCAAATGGTCCTAGCCTAGCCTGCATATATTAAATATGCTCAAAACACTACCATCAGTCTATAGTGGGCCAGTACCAGCCAAGAGAAGCCCTATTTGATGGTTGTGTATGGTAACATGTAATTTACTGGCTCTGGAGCTCTAAAACCTACCAGCAGCACCATCTGTAGTGACTGTTCCCCTCATGACCGTGGCTGTGGCTCCCTGCTACTGCATATCATAGTCAGGGAATCCTACCACATACTGCCACCCTGGGAGAGACCAAAACTCACATTTTAAAGTATGGTTTCTGCTTCTGCATCATTATAAAGTCAGAAAGTATAAGTTAAACTGAGGCTAAGACGGGAACATCTCCCTGTATTACCGAGGAAACAATGAGAGTTAAGGCTCTCCATTCAGTGTGGGGAGTCTAAGCACACTGTCTTTCTGACACCCAGGAAGCCTTTCATTTCTGAGGCCGCAGTGACACTGGTAGAGGACTTGCCCCACATGTGAGGCTCTGGGCTGGCATAGAAAACAGAGCACAGGACATACTTTGCCACCCAGGGAAGACTCTGACAGGAAAATAGAGTAGTCTCTCATACGAGTCTAAAGCAACAAATGCAGTACACAGTGTATTCAATTATCAAAATAAAAACGTTCTACACTGTCTTTTCTCATGACACAATCCCACTCCTTGCTGTAGATCTGACTGTAAATGGTTCGCTGCCTTTTCTTACTCTCATGCTTATTCTGCATCTACAGCAGGAAAACCACCGGAGAGTTGGCCCAGCAAGCCAGAAAAGAAGGCTTTAATGAAAGCGTAAGATTTAATTCATTTTTTTCTAAACACAAGTGATAGCTTTATTAGTTCTGATTAACAGAAATAATTTATGGTAACAGTTGTAACCCCCAATACATCTCTCAAAATCAGGAGCCTTCTCCATTTATGACAGATCACAACAAACTGCCTAAAGAATACGAAGATCTATTTATAGAATTTAGTTAATAGGTCATTTCTATTAAAAAGACTCATGTCAATTCTGACAAATCTGAGGGTGTTTCTTGTGCATGTATGTATGGGTATGTTCATGTATGGTGGGTATATGCACAGACCAGAGATGTTATCCCAAGAAGGCCATCTACCCCCTTTAAAACAGGATCTCTCATTGGCCTGAAGCTCATCAGCAGGACTAGACCAGCTTGCCAATAAACTCCAAAGGTCCTTCTGTCCCCATCCCTGAGAGTACAAGTGTGCACTATCAACGGCCAGCATTTTAAAAGATTTACAGGTGTATTTGGACCCACAGTATAATCAGCCTGGGCATCTAGTAGTTCAGGTTTCCCCCCCAAAGATGATGCTCACAAACAAGCAGGAAGCAGTCTTGAGAATCCACGGCCCCAACTGTAACCTGTGGAGCCTAACCTCCTGTCTTTTTATTATAAAAAAGAGAAGGGAATGTAATGATCTGCTCTGTCCCTTTAAGAGACAAGCCATGCCCACTCCCTCCCCTGTCTGCTGAGGCAGGCAGGTCTTCCTTCCTGTTTACAGCCTGAGTCTCTTCCTTTCCTGTCTCCCTCTTGAAGAGGCAGCTTCTGTTCTCGTTCTCTCGTTCTCTCGTTCTCTCTCTCTCTCTCTCTCTCTCTCTCTCTCTCAGAAAGGGGCAGTAATACCACACTTTCTGGTGAAAGACTTGTGTTGTGATACATGACACCGGTGCATACGGGCCATTAACCAAGGCAGGGATTATTTAAAGGGTCACATCTGTGCAAGTCTGACAGAAAAGCTGCTGGGAGGGCAAAGAATGCCCACAGATGCATTCTGAGGTACACCTGCTACAGTTAAGAGGGTAGGGGTGTAGCTTAGGGCAGAGCAAGTGCACAGCATGTATGAGACTCTGGGCTCAATACTCAGCCTTGATAAGTTAAAGCCAGGAAGAGGCAGCAGAATGAAGTTAGCAAATATGACCCGAACCCTTGCCTATCTGCACTGCACATCTCACTGCCCAGTCTTCTGGGGTGACTTTGCTGGCGCAGACACCCAAGCGCCAGGCTGTATTTGTCCTCTAAATTGACAGGAGATCCAAGGGGCAGAGCAGATGAAAACGTGGAAGGAGAGGCTTGAGAAAAAGTATTATTCTACAGACCTTCAAGATGACTACCAGCCTGTCACTCAGCAAGAATTTCGAGAGTAAGCATTTGTCGCATGTACCAACTGTGGCACATGGCACACCAGGATATGCAGTCCGAAGACATGTTATATGTGTTATTTTGAGCCAGAACCACATTGCTATACTTGACTCTTTCATTTGCTGCAGCTTCCAAATTAAAACACACAACTCCATTTGCTTAGTGAGGCCACCATGTTGGAGAGCTGGCTCAGTGGTCAGGAGCACAGGCTCATATCTAATTCCAGTCCTGGAGAGCATCTGCACCATGCATGCATATGGTGCAGACATACATGCAGGTAAAAACATACACATATATTTCACAAAGTGAGATGAACGTTCCACCTCTAGATGAAAGGGCACAGTGGGCCTGTTCTCACAAGCTTCCCATCAGCACTACCGCTGCCCTATGAAATGTGACTCGGGAGATGTCATCCCCTCTCCCTCTCAAAGCACGTCACAGCAGGCGTTAATAAGCTGTCTACTGCACACAGCTATCACGCGTATCACTCCTAACTTTTAAACTCTCTTCTAGACTCTTTTTATATGCTGTGGAGCTGGAGAAGGAATTACATTACATCAGTTTAAAACTAAACCAAGTGATGCGAAAGCTACAGTAACACTGGAGGTAAGACTGTGATGAGGTGCAATGCTTTGTGAGGTACTTACTGCATTTTCTCCTACACACGTCGCCATCTCTCTGGTTACTTCATTGCTTCCACTGTGCTGGGGACTGAGTGCAGAGTCCTGCAAATGCTAGGCACCACGCTACGTCTCCAGCCAAGATGCACTTAAAAGTGTTGAAGCAGCTATCAGTTCTAACAGGATGACTTCCATGAACTGAGTGCAGCTGAACAGAGTCCACTGTACCACCCATACATTTACCAAGTGCTTCCTGTAATATGCACAGGAGTGTAAAAGGGAAGCACAGACAATGCTTCTTGGTCATGGGGCAGATCTCTAAGGTCACAGGGTAGATCGCCAATAGTTGGATGGGAGGTAGAGACAGATGAACTGTTGGTAGTTTCAACCCTGGCACATCCCAGGCTCTCACTTCCTTTGGCCAGAGGTAAAGTCATAAGATTTTGGGAAAATACTATGTATGAACAACATACATAAAATAATCTCCATTCTAGACTCCAAAATGCCTAGAAAAAGTCATATACAACAACTCTGTAGTTAAATACAGAAATTTCAAATGCAGATTTCATCTTGTTTCTAAACAACAATATTTCAAGTTTCCTAAAAACAAAAAGGATGGCATATATTAAGGTCGTAAGTTGTCTGGAAATTACAGACAAGGGACCTTTGAGAGCCTTCTTGTTGGAAAGTTGTGTATGACTAGTACTTTAGAAACTGGAGGAAAATGTTACTTTCCTAGGCTATATAAACCCCTCCAGAATAGACCTATGTTCTGTCCTACAGGTCAAAGCAACACCATATTCAACCTCAGCACTCAATTTGCACATTAATGCTCAGTGCATATATTTAAAACATTAATAAATTGCTGGGCAGTGGTAGCACACACCTTTAATCTTAGCACTTGGGAGGCAGAGGCAGAGGCCAGCCTGGTCTACAAAATGAGCTTCAGGATAGCCAGGGCTACACAGACAAACCCTGTGTTGAACCCCCCCCCACACACACACACACACACCGACCCAAAAAAAATCACCCAGGCTGGCCTTGAACTCCTGGGCTCAAGGGATCCTTCTGCTGTGGTCTCTGGAGCAGTTGAGACTATAGGTACACATCACACCATGCCCAATAAATGTTACCTTCCTCAAAGCAAGGAGGGCAGACTTTTCATAATGTGGTAATTCACTGCAACAAGACATGACTAATTCTGGCACTAGGATGCAGAGAGAGGAACAGGAGTTAAAGGTCCTTGGCTACACACCGATTTCAAGACCAGATACATGAAACCCTGTCTTGGGGGTCTGGGAGTGAAGGTAGTTTGCCTATCTCCTAAATAGCTCTGAGAAGCAGTATAGATTCTTCCCTGCTGAGCAACCTTAGTATGTCCCCTACATCATCACTGGGTAGGGCAATTTAAATAAGCCTAAGAGAACCTTCTAGAAAAACATCATACATTTACAATGACTTAGAACATTAAAGTCCTTTTATTACAAAAGTCTGTACAATGAAGTGCCAAACAAACACAGCAATGTAATTATACTGGTGAACATATATATATATATCTATATAATATTTCTATATAGATATAATTTTTATTTGTACCAAAGTAAAACTCTCGCAGGTGCCTAGCTCAAGTCAGCGACAGCACAGGAAGAGTGCCGTCTCCTCACTACTCAGCCCAACTACCACTAATGACCAAACCATGACGCAGCGCAACTCAGTGAAACCAGTCAGGCCACAGACTTATAAAAATATTGTACTCAAATAGATTTAGCATTATAGAGAAGGAATATATTATTTAACATTTAAATAGTGCACATGGACATTTTTGCATGTGGTATACAAAATAAAACATTCATAAAAATATACAGTGCACATAAAATTACATGTAGCAATCCTGTCTGGAGACCAAAAGAAACTAAAAAAGTACACCACATGATGGGCTCAAATCAAATGATACATTTTTTTGGCATTCTTAATTACTTTCCTAAAATTACATTATGAATGACCTAGCAATATCAAAAGGAACCACACAAACAAGGCTGGATTTAGTGCTTTTTAAAAATCTTCCAACTATACACTCACTACCGCTGGATGTTTCCCTCTCCTCTGAAAAAGGCATTGCACACACGAGTGAGATGGGAAGTACTAGAGACACTATTTATTAGCAAGCTACCTCATGTTCTTACTGGGTAATAGTGCCAGAAGTTCGAGGTTCATGCTTTCCTCACCTTATTAAAGATGTTGTGAAATTCCATTTGTATGAAACAAACTATTAATATTAAGAAAATCATGCATGAGTCATTACATGCAAAGCATGGGCAAAGTGAAACATTTATCAATTCAAAAAAGCACCAGGGACGGGGGTGGGAGATATGATCCACTCAGATAAAGCCTGACCCACATCTGTTTTATTAACACAAGTTACTATTCCATAAAAATGATTAGCAGAGTACCTGAAGAAAAGCCATGCAAAGCCAAAGGAAGAGAGATGCTGAGAGTCTGTGACAAGGGGCATACCACTACACATCCTGTAAGCGGCTGGGGGAGGGGTCACTTTAGAGGGAGATGCAGCCCCTGAATGGACTGTACAGCTGCAGTGGTATAGCCCTTGTAAAGAACACAATTACTTAGGTGTGATCATTCTTGTGCCAAGTGAGGCCCATGTGATAAAATACACAAACCTGAGCACCATCCAAGTCCCTCCATACTGGCACGGCTATTTTCTCACATTATCTGGAGATGGGTGGGGGGACAGCGCAGGATCTGATCCAGACAAGTCACATCATTGCTAGTAGACAGTAACTGAAGTCCTGTAGGCAGCATGTGATGTGATTCAGCTCTGAGGGATGTGTGCAATGTTTCAAATGACTAAGCAAGGCTGCTCTGTGGTCTACCCACGTTATCTTCGTTCAGGTGAGACCACGGATTTGCAAACTCTGGCTAAGTACCTATCTGTGCAGCTGTCACTCTGGGAATTACACAGAAAGGTGTTCCACACTAAGATTTCAAAATTCAGTTTGGTTTTCTAGGAAAAACAGAATACAGTTGCATATGTCACGTTTATAGGCTTTTCTTTTAAATTTTCAGTCATTCTGTAAGAAAAAGGCAACCGAAGAATTCAGTGTCAAGATTTTCCTCTCAATTTTCTTCAGTAATGAAAAATAAAAAAACAAATCTGTAAACAAGAAAAGCTTTGTATTTCCAAAGTTCTTGAAGTGAAAAGAATAAAATTCTTGTCTTTTGCTAATAGCTGTACCTATAGTAAACAGTGAGGGATCTGCATATTTGCTAAGTGTGGAGAGGAGTCTGCGGTAATGTGGAGCAGCCTTCCTTTCCCTACTGAACCACAGACAAGTGCAAAGGGGGTGGATTCTGAGTGCCTGACAGTGAACTCAAGTGCGAGCCAAGTACACATGATGAACCTTCATAGAACACAACTGACTTTATGATGTCCATTTTCAGGGGACATATTTTATATGGACTTTGAAGAGTCTTGTTTGCTGATAAGAACTTCCAGAAGTCTAAGCTTGGCCTTAATTTTCTTGTACTCTTTATATTCCTCCAGCACCGGGACGCGGTCCTCTTTCTGGGCATTCCTATGGAAGATAAAATCTGACTTAAAAGTTGTCCTCGTATGGAGTGTAATATTACAAATTTATGGTAAAATAAAAGCTGGTACTGGGACTACAGGCATGAGCCACCACTGCCCGGCTACCATGAGTCATTTTACATATTTAGTTAACCACTCCATTAGTGGGTACTTCAGCATCCATCACCTCAAGTATAATTTGTTTTCTTTCAATATAAAGGAATTGCATGGAAAATGCCTTTATAGCTCTTAGATTTTCTTACACGCTTTTGTGTATACGTATGTTGTACACGTGTGTGCACGAGTCAGAGGTGTCTTACTCACCTTGTTTTTTTCCTATTGCCTGAAGTAAGCTTGCTGGTGGTTGTTTTTACTCTTTACTCTTGGAGGGGAGGGGGGAATCTGTCACCCAGCTTCCAAATAAATCACACACAAGGTCTTATTACTTATAAATGGCCTTAGCTTGGCTTTTTTCTAGCCAGCTTTTCTTAAATTATCCCATCTATCTTTTGCCTCTAGACTTTTATCTTTCTCTATTTCTGCATATCTTTCTTCTGAGGCTTTGCTGTGTAGCTGGGTGGCTGGCCTCTTGAGTCCTCCTTTTCTCATTCCTTCTTCCTCCTCCAGATTTCTCCTCCTATTTATTCTGCCTGCCAGCCCTGCCTATCCTTTCTCCTGCCTTGCTATTGGCCATTCAACTCTTTATTACACCAATCAGGTGCTTTAGACAGGCAAAGTAGCACAGCTTCACAGAGTTAAACAAATGCAACATAAAAGAATGCAACACATCTTTGCATTATTAAGCAAATGTCCCCAACACTAACTGGCTATCAAGCCCCAACGATACAGCATTCAGATACCCACCAACTGGTTTGGGCTCTGAGGATCAAACTCGGGTCCACAGAGCAGGCTTCACAGTAGTGAAGGTTCACTTCACTGACTGAGCCATTTCCCCAGTACTCAGATTGTTTAAATCATACTTGATAACCCACATAGACGTGAAACTCTAAAATTATCTCCTGGCTCTATCACTCTTCATTGTGTTTCCACAGCACAAGGTTATCTCGCAGAGCCTAAAGCTTTCTAGTTTTTTGTTAGACTGGCTGTTCAGTGAGCCCAGGGATCTTCCTATCCACACGCCTCCCCAGGCCCCAACTCTGGGGATATAGGTCAACTATGCAAAGCAGTTAAAGGCATATGGCATACTGTTTAGACTCACATACCTATGAATCTCCAGAATGAGTAGCCGGGATAATCCAACAAGCAGTATATTGACAACCTGAGCTTGTTTCAGGATAAAAATTAAGAATCCAGACAGCCAATGGTGTCTAATCCCAGCACTCAGGAAGCAGAGACGGGCAGATCTCTGAGTTCCAGGCCAGCCTGGTCTACATATCAAGTTCCAGACCAGTAATGGCTACATAATGAGATCATCTCAGAGAGACAGGTCACTAATATCTATCATATCATATCATATCATATCACTGGGGACCAGAAATATTGCTCAGTGGTAGAATGCTTGCCTTATGGGTTTGAGCTCCAGCACTGCAAACCAACAAGAATGGCTTTAGACAAACCTTAAAATATTTGATATGCTTACTCCAATTATGACTTTTCCTTGACTTTAGTAACAGCAGGTCTTGAGAGCATAAAAGACTGTTATAAAATTGGCTGGGAGTGGTGAAGCACACCTTTTAATCCCAGGAGGCAGAAGCAGTGAACTCTGAGTTTGAGACCAGTCTGGTCTACATAGTTATATGTGTGTGTGTGTGTGTGTGTGTGTGTGTGTGTGTGTGTGTATGCATGTATATATATATATATATATACATGCATATGTGTGTATACGCACATACATATATATATTTAATTATACAATATAAAAATAACATATATAATTTTCTTTTTGTGTTTTTGCAGTGCTGGGGATTAAACCCCAGAGCTTTGCAAATGCTGGGCAAATGCTCTTGCACCAAGCTATAGTCTTAGAGCTAAAACCTGTATTTCAGGGCTAACATCCTATAAGCAATGCGTAATTCTTCTTCTTAGTGTATGGGAACATGAGAGTGCATGTGTCATGTGGAAATAAGAAGAGACCCCTTAGGAGCTGATTCTTTTCTTCCCCTATGTAGGTCTTGGGGATCAAACTGGTAGCCAGCATTGGCTGCAGCAAGCATCAGTGCCTGTGTTTTTAATCCCATGTATTCCACTACCTTAACATACATTTTGTGAGTAAAAGGAGAAAGATGTCAACATCTACAATGTTTAACAAACCTTCCATTTTGTTGATAAAATGCTTCTTCAAATTCCCGCAATGTTTTACGTAGTTTCTTTTTCTCAGCTCTGGCTTTCCAAAGCTGTTCCAGTAATTCAGGCCTAAAGTTAAAATGGAAGCAAAGCATTACTAAATGATACAGTTTCTTTATTCTATTAACACTGGTTCTAGTCCTCTCTGCAGCTAAGGCTTTCCGAAATGTACCAATGTCTACACTCCACTATAAATTAAATCATGAAACCGTTCTGGGGCTGTGGGAACTGCTCAAGTGCTTGCTACACAGCCCCCGAGGAACCCGAACTTGACCCTCAGGGCACACATAAAGTCTCTGGGTGCAATGGTGTGCACCTATAATCCCAGTTCTTGAAAGATCCCTGGCCCAAGGTCAATGAGAGGCACTGTTTCAAAAGGGGGGGGGGGGGCAATGATTAGTTCAATTCCAAGTACCCACATGGTGGCTCAAAACTGTATATAACTCTAGTCCCAGAGACCTGAAGTCCTCTCCTGGCCTTCGGGGGGGCATCAGACACACACAGGCAAAGCACCCATACACATAAGTAAGCACCCATACACATAAGCACCCATAAGTAAAAATGAGTGTGCGTTGCAAAAATGGCTCAGTAGTTACTGCTCTTGAAGAGGACTGAGTTAGGTTTTCAACACCCACGTGTAGGCAGTTCTCACAATGTATTCTTCTGACCCCCAGAGGCACTCAACATATGCATAAATCCATACAAATATACACATTATTTATTAAAATGAAATTTTTTAAAAAGTACAAAAAACCTAACAAGAGTCTTATTTAAAAAGGGAAATTGCTCTTAAAGAACAACATCCAAGTTTGACTTCTGACTTACTCAGAAGTGCACACGAGGGGCTGGAGAGATGGCTCAGCAGTTAAGAGCACTGACTGCTCTTCCAGAGGACCTGGGTTCAATTCCCCAGCACCCACATGGCAGCTCACAACTGTCTAAAAATCCAGTTCCAGAGGATCTGACACCTTCACATCAATGTACATAAAATAAAGATAAATAAATCATAAAAAATTTAAAAAAAAAGAAGTGCACACGAATACACACACACACACACACACACATGAACCTTTCTAATTTTAAGGTGAATTAAGGGTTGAGAACCACTGTCATAAATCCACCTACAGATAAGCAGGCCAATAAAAAACAAATTCTCAGTTGGTTCCTATAACTGTTATAAGTTGAGTACATTTTTTAATTGAAATATTTAATAAAGAAATAGAAACTATAGGCTAGGGAGATGGACTCAACAAATCAGGCTTGATGTATAAGCCTGACACGTGAGCTTGGATCCCTGAACCCTATGTAAAAAGCCAAACAAGGGGGGGCTGGAGAGATGGCTCAGAGGTTAAGAGCACTGCCTGCTCTTCCAAATTCCAAAGGTCCTGAGTTCAATTCCCAGCAACCACATGGTGGCTCACAACCATCTGTAATGAGGGTCTGGCCTTAGGCATACATGCAGACAGAATATTGTATAATAAATAAATAAATAAATAAATAAATAAATAAATAAATAAATAAAT